CTACATGAAGAGCTACCCCATAACATTAGATACAGCAGAGTGGTAAAGGATGCAAAGTGTTTCTTCAGTGTCTACTTGTCATTAACAAGTACAGACAGGGACAGGAGAGTCTTCGGTTATCTGGGCACTGGAAGTATGCATGATGCAATTTCACTGCTATTGCTGCTCCTGTCCTGGAGTTCCCATCAGGCTACATAACAAGAGAGATATCAATAAACATTTTAGAAACTGGCACTCCATACAACCGTGTCAGTAGGGCTTTTTTTAAAACAAACCAACTCAAAAACAGAACACCAAAACATTACTCCGATACTGATTGGTTTATAGATGTCAGAGCACCTGCCACGGGTTATTTATGCTTGTCCACTCTGTTCAGAGGATAGCAAAGCTAAAATAGTTCACTGTATTTCCTTAGGACATACAGTAGGTGGCAGAGTGGGAAATAAAAAGCAGGTGTCTCCATTTTTAACTCCCATCTGTAACCTAATTATTATACTGCACAGGGACTCCTCCTAGCACAGAGCTTCATTTGACTTTTACTAGTCTTCATTGTTTGCTTTTGCTGTAAGTTAGTGCATCTTCACTTTTCAAAAATATAATTTTTCACCTTTGAGATATACATACACCCCACACCCCCCCCCCCCCCCCCCCCCCCCAGCAGTCTTGTAAGCTTACCATGTCACCGTTCACTCTGGAGCAACACGTGTGCTTATCTTGTGATTTAATTTTTACTGGGCTGTAGACACATGCCAGCCTGTAGAAAGCTTTCTGCTCTTAAGGACAAGGGGGTGAGTTGCCTGCAGTTCCCACCTAAGAGTCAGAAGGCCAAGCCCTGTGCTCCCAGAAACTGAAAGGAGAGCCATGTCCCAGAGCTAGGAACCTGATGTACTTGAAAGAATTAGAAAAGTAATGTTCACGAGTAAGGGGTCATTTGCTAGAAGGTTCCTAGACTGAAAGAGGCTCAATGGAAGATGAGAAACTGGCCTCCCCAGACTGAGAGCT